GTAGTTACATAAGATTGAAAATATTTTAATTCAGAATGTGGAATCATGCAGCAAATAGATTTTGCTTCGCAATAAACAGTGTTGAGATTTTAAAATTTTATAACAAAGTGGTTATCTCACTGAAATGGCAGATAAGCGATACGGCTCGTCTGACAACAAGTAAGTTGCAGTTTATGAAGACTTATAAATATTACATAACACTATTTAAGCGAGCGAAAAGCTAGTATGAAATCAGTTTACAGCAGTTTTTTTATGAGTGAGACATCTATTGCCTAGGAGTTCCATATAGTAATCCGTCAGTACTTGCACATTGTCGATCCCGAAAAAAAAAGCTTTTTAGTACAACTTCCAAAAGTAGGAAGTTCTCACAATTATTTCATATAATAATAAATAAAGAATTTAATCAAATAATTATTGTTATTTAATTATTATCATCGAATCATCATTAAAAATCATCGTCATCATCATCGTAATACTCAACGATATTCACTGTTTATACAAAAAATGATTTATTGGCCATATGTAAGTAACTATTCGCTACGCAAGCACACTGCGACACTTGGTAAACATTTGTTTACTCTGACGACATATTTTTACAGTTCAAATTCAATTGTTGCAGCTCCAATAATACTAACATAAAAACTTATTAATAGCAAATGTTTCCCTAATGTGGTACGCCAAATTATTTTGCTTCCTATTCGTTATTTTAGTTAAAAATCGAAACATTCAATTATTTGATTTTGTGTTAATTATTATATATTATGCAGTGTATATATCTGTTGTATATGTTAATAAATATTATGCTGTCAACGATTGCCTACCTTACACAGACTACAGGAACGTTACAGGAATGTTACCTTACAGGGTACAGAGGAATAACACCTGAGTCCTCAGGAATGTCAACGCATGGGGGGGTATCATGGGCGAAACAGTATACTCTGTTATGTCCATGGTACTGCTCATGTCTATAGGTGACGGTTACCACTTTCTATTAGGTGGGCCGTCAGCTTGTTTGCCATATGCATCTAAGTTGCATAAAAAAAAAAAACCTTGTTTATTCTTTATTTCTCTTTAAACAATTGTCAACTACATAAATCTACAGAATTTAATTTAGAAACATTTGTTATTGGATATACTATTCTATTACAAAAAGATTGTAAACTGTTTTGTAAAATGCTGTTCGTTTTTTTTTTAATAAATAAATAAATAATCAAATGATCCATTTTTCTTGTACACTTGATTTGACCCGTCTTTATAGTCTATGGTCGAGTCACTTATTTGTATATTTACCATTTCGTTGTATTGAAACAAACTGTAAGTCACAAATACAATAAACAAAAGAAATACAAATCTTACTAATGTATAATACAATTGTAACCAGATGTAAGATCGTAATAAAAACAATAGAGGTTAAAACAATACTTATTAGAAATTTTGCCTGATTGTCTGTATGTTTGTATTGGCATTTTGCAAAAAATACTGCACCAAATTAGATGCGGTTTTCTCAATCGTGTTCCTGAAGATGTAACTTAAAAAAAAAACAGGATATGTTTTATCTTGATTCACAATCTAGAATTGGTTTAATTGGTTTGGATGGTCCTACTTCGAGGATCCATGGATACGAAGTAGCGTAGTAAAGCTAGTAAAATATTTTTTTCGTTGAAAGAATCGAGTTCACTCTTGACTTTTATTGTAAACGATTGTGAAGTAATTAGGCATCATTCATGTTTACAACAGTTCATTCATGGCACACGCTATGGTCATTATATAGATTCATAGTAACTAAATCGGTACAGAATTGTCCGTACAATTATATTTCTACCATCGCGCTAAGTCTTTTATGGGGTAGGCAGGGAGTACCAAAAGAAAAGAATACTATTACTAAAAATGCAAAAGAAAAGTATAAGCTTTTTTTTTGTTTTAAGAGCTATATTAATTATTATGTAATTTGGTATACATGTATTATATAGGATACGGTAGGACATAGACAACTTTTCATCTTGGTTACACGGGCGAAGTCGCGAGAATTAACTAGTTTAGTACATTGATAAATTGTAGCTCTAACTATGGAATGGATAAATATATTTTATAGTATGATATCCAAATCTCTAACCTGTTTTAATCATGAGTCAGCAAGGTCACAAACTAAGAGCAAGATGCACCAATTCCTTGCGTTATTTCAACGTTACATTAAAAATATATAGATTCGCAATGTAAAATATGTTAGAGCGGGATAGACAAGTAGGTCATTCACCTTTACAATATAAGCTCGAAAAGGATTTGGTGGGAATATGAACAAAATAAATCCTGTTTATTTTAATATATTGAAGTGTATTTAATTAATTTTAAGAGAATGGAACTAGTTGGTTAGAGTTAAGTTTGCTGTACTTAGATATACTTAATATAAATTAGGGGGGAAAAATTATAAAATTGTACATTTTCCACATAATTACGTACGTTTTAAATATTTATCTCCTTAAACGCAATATTATAGAACTATAACTTTGTACAAGCATTCGTACAAAAAAAATTAGATACATATTTATTTTTTATTTAATTTTCAATAAAAAAAAATTACTCTTTTATCAAAATAAAGTTCTGAACGTCCACGAATTAAAATTAAAATTATAAGATTTACGTAAATTTTTGCTATTTTTGCGTTTTTTTTTTTACAAAACACGTATTATTAGTAATTATTTTCTTGTCTCGTTTTTTCGGATTGCATTTCCAGACTGTTAGAGCGTGAGTATTTTTTTTTTGGATGAAAATGGATTGGTAACTCCGCCTGCGCTAACGGGATACGCTGGCGGAGCACCAATGAAGGGTGATCGATGGGAATGAAAACAGGCCAGTTTGCACATCATGATGAATTCATCAGAACTTAACCATGATAGTTTCCAGGAGGAACCGCGTGGAGGTCGACCTGGTTAGGTATATTGCTAGCAATGAGATTTTTAGTCTCCATTACTAACAATCCCTTTCCCCCCAAATTGCGTGAGTACGTTATATTCATCTTCATCATATTAGCACTTATCTATCGACTATTAAACTTTGGTCTCTTCCATAGACTGCCATAAGGAACGGGGCCGTTCTTTATAGCAGTTTAGTATGGTGGGGACGTAGGTGCGTAGTTGCCACGCTTGGCAGCGGGGTTGGCAAACGCAATTACGTTATGATGACGTTTTAAGAGAGACACTGCTGTCCATTCCTCGACCATCAACTTCTCTTAGTCGCCACTTATGAGACCCACGGGGGGTGGAAAAGAAAGGGTGGCCCATTCTATGCCGGGACCACACGGCAACGTACGCTATTTGCAATTTCAACAATATCAAATGTGTCAAATTCAGTCATTCAAGTATGTCTATGGTTTTTTTTTTAATGAATGAAATGATGACCCCGCCTGCGCTATCGATATACACTGGCGGGGCACCAGGGAGGAATGATAAGTGAGGATAAAAAGGCAGGTCAGTTAGCCCATCATGACGAATTCAACAATAAATTAGTCACCTGATAGGATATATTGATAGCAATGGGGACTAACCTCCCCATTACTAACAATCCCTTCACAACAATATCTTTGGGTAGATTGATTTTTTACCTGTTTTCGACACTCAATGCTTTATATTGAGGTAGACGTATATATAAACTATATATAAGAATCCCGGGTCAAAACACAATATTCTGGGGGGAAAGGGATTGTTAGTAATGGGGTCTAATAGTCCCATTAACTAGCAATATACCCTCTCAGGTTGACCTCCACGTGGTTCTCCCTGGAAACCATCATGTTTAATTCTTGTCGAATTCATCATGGTGGGCCAACTAACCTGCATTTTTTCTCACCTATCATCTTTCACTGGTGCCTCGTCGGTGTATACCTATAGCGCGGGCGGGATTACCAATCCTTTTTCCCGATTTTATGAAAGAATATTGTTTAAAAAAAAAAAAACAATATTCTTTCATACTAATCACTGAAAGCGCTCAACCTTTTGTAGGTATATAGTTATATAGCTCAAAATATTATGTATATATGTATGTTTTGTCTTATTATTATTAAAAGGTTCATTTCATTTCGATGTCAATATATACATGGTTATATACATATGTATATCTATATAAACGCTGTGACATAAAGCGGTAAACAGCCTCCGAAGACTTCAGGATAAAGTCGAAACAATCGAAAATAAAATCGATAAAATACAGTGAATTCGTTAATTTCCCGTTATATATGTATATATACATATGTATTGTTTATTCCAACTTGAGAGGTAAAATAGTTTTTATCTCGATAAAAAGAAATGGACACGGCAGATGGCGGTAGGGAGCAAATTAACATTTGTCGAATCATAAATATTGTAAATACAGATATTGTAGGTACATTTTACGCGATATAATAAATTTGGCAGAAATATGGTTACCATTTCGTTTTGTACAAATAGATACCAAATAAGTGTATAAACGTCAATTAAACCAACTTTAAGTTGTATTAATATTGACCGTATTAAATGATAATTATTTAAAGTTAATAAAAGTAACGTATTGTTATTTTCATTTGTGAAGACAATTGGCACAATTACTTCTACTTATGATATAGAAACATTTGTCAATTGAATATAATTAAAAGTCTGTTTAAACAAATAATTTCTTACTCACATAGTAGGTAGGTAGGTACTACATATTGTATCTGCGCACGTAAATCTTAAATAAATATGATTGCTTTTATAAGATTTCGTATTGTATTATAAAATTGAGCAATTTTTAAAATAGCTACCTAATAATTTAAATTTTTATTACGATTAAAATGTATAAAATATATTTTTATTTTGCCCTACACGAATTTTGTTAGCAATAATTACAAATTTTCTACAAATAAAAACAAGAAATATTTATTTTAATTATTTAATTAAAAATAAGCATTTATTATGGCACCAAATAATAATATCGAAAAATATAAACACATTTATTTAATTAATAAATTTTTAAAATAAAGAATTGGTACTCACTGATAATAGCGAATATATATTGATTAATTCGCGTTCCATTTTGCCACATAAATTTCGAAATTAGAATATTCATATTTGGAACGCACTTTTATTGCACACAATATTTATAACAAATTGCCATCCAGACACCGAGGTGTCTTCAATCGGACTGAATGTGGTGTTGTGGTCTCAGCGGATTCTAAACTACGAAGAATTGTTTACGGTGCACTACTTAGTCATTATCGGCATTCAACAGGTCGGAATCTGTTTTTTATAATTAATTAATATCTATTAACTTATGGTTGTCGAGTTGGTAAAAGAAAGAAAATTAATATTTCTTTTTGTACTGACTAATTGAAAAAAAATTTTTAAGTTAATCTTAATTAAATCGTTTCTTATTAATAAAATTATCCCCATGTATCTATTTATAACTTTATATATTTTATACGTATTTGTACCATCTTGTAGCTATAAGGTTTCAGATTTGATTCTTGGTTCGAGTATTTTAAGAAAAATAAGTTAGTCTCGTATCAAGGTTTATTTTCAGAGAACATCAATTGAATTGTAATTAAATTACCTAATCACTGTCTTAGTACGTGAGTTTTGAATGTGTTTTTGCAACACATTTGAGGTTATCGTTCCATCTAGTAGGGGCTTGTCTTTTGTATATTTAACCAGAGGGAGACTTTGTACAAAAGTCGTTTGCTTGGGTACCTCTGTCCCATTCGTGTTTCAACCATGAAGCAGTTGTGTTTGCATGGCTGTGTTTCGGTTTGAAGGGTGGGATATGGCGTGAATTTACAGGGTACAGAGGAATAATACCTGAGTCCTCAGGAATGGCAACGCATGAGGGGTATCATGGGTGAAACAGTATGTGAATGTACTGTTATGTCCATGGTACTGCTTAAGTCTATAGGCGACGGTTACCATTTTCCATCAGGTGGGCCGTCAGCTTGATTACCATTCTAAGTTGTATAAAAAAAAAACTTTTATAACGTTATTCAATGTTACTGAAACAGATAATTAACTATATATATATCTAGCAGCTTGTTTGCCAAAAATGTTCATAAAAAATCCTGCACTATAATTTAGTGTATGGATTATAAAGTTTACATAGTGCATTCATTAGCATATTTTTGTTTATAAACATTATCTCGAATGTAGGTAGTAGAAAAAATGTTCGGATATTTTATAACCTGTTTTATTCAATACGGTTCATGTTTGGATTGCGAACTTGTTTTTGTACGCACAGGCTGGTTGGTGCCTATGGGTCTCTATTTTTATTTATTTTTTATTAAAGTCGAAATGGTAAACAATTTGATGGCCCAATTGAAGGAAAGTGGTAACCGACTTTATAGTGATAATATCAAGAAATAAATATATTAGAGACTCTACAAAAGGCGTTTGCTTATTTACTTCTGTCGCATTCGTGTTTCTGCAGTAAAGCAGTTGTCTTTGCATGACTGTTTCAGTTTAAAGGGTAGAATATTGTAATGAAATTACAGGGCAGTGGTATAACACCATAGCCCTTAGCATTAGCATCAGTCCTTACGCATTAAGGGTATCATGGGTGATATACTCTGTTATGATCATGTCTATAAACGATGGTTTTTTTAACGGATGATAATGGAATAGTGATGTGAACAGATAGATGAGATGTAAACGCAGGTCAGTTAGCTTATCGTGATGAACACACCTGGAATTCAGCACGATGGTTTCCAGGGACTACGTGGAGGTCAACCTGACAGGTTATACTTCCAGTAATAGTAACTAGGAACTGGTAGTCTACATTACTAACAATCCCTTCTCTTCCTATAGGCGACGGTTACCACTTTCCATCAGGTGGGCCGTCAGCTTGTTTGCCATACTAAGTTGCATAAAAAAATAATTTTGCCCCAGTAACTGGCCATCAATTTAAATATATCAAACTAATTAATGAATGCGTTTATAATGACAGGCCCTTATTATTATCTAAGTATTTATGTATGTATGGGTTCTTTACAGATAAATCAGATAATATCAGCCTTGCTTGCCACCTACCAGCATCTTTGTGGTATATTTATACGTATATATTTACTATGTGTCTAATTATAAACTATTATTCCAAGTTATATATAGCTTAGTTATTTTAATGTTGTGTTAGTGTACATTGTAAAATCAGGGTAATAAATAAAAATCAACAATTCAATTTCCTCTTTACCTTATTTTGCATATCCATTCCATTATAAAAAGAATGGCAAAAAAAGATTGTTTTCAGCACTAAAATCTCCTTATTGTAATCATACTATAAAAAAAAAATTGTGAATTTAATATATTTATGTATACTAATATTATAAACAGGAAAGTTTTCAATTTTTTGTATGTTTATTTATAATGGATAAACTCAATAACTGCTTAATCGATTTTAAAAATTCTATATTATCAACGAGTAATATTTACCTGTACAAAGTCGAGTCGGATTTCTAGTATATTAATTTAATAGAATAAATTATTTTAATTAATATGAGACCAACAAAAGAATAACAACAAATGACATTTTGATTAAAAATGAATGGCCGAAATCGGTGCTGATTTGACGAAAATATTAAGCAACATTACATAAAAAATATAGTCGGACTAGTCATCCAGCCCGGCTTTATACCGGTAGAGGGAATTTTAGAAAATACAATACAGCCTGCGTTACCCGCTGATAACGTAGCTTTTTATAGTTGAAAAAAATATTAAAATCGTTTCAGCAATTTGTGAGTTTATCCATTACAAACAAACAAACGAACAATCAAATCTTTTTATAATATTATTTTATTGACAAATTGAAACCCTCCTTTTTGAAGTCGGTTAAAAACGCCGTACTTCTATCATGGGGGAAGAGGAAGGAAGTATCGACGATCATCCTTCCGCAATGAAGACAACAGTTGTAACAACAGCGACATTGGTGGCGGAGACAAAACTGAAGCGTTTTAATGTGGCAACAAAAAACCGGAACAAGTTCCAGTTTTAACACAGTATCGCCCAACATTTAGACCTTACCGTTATGATTAGATCAATAACATCTAGGGAAAGTGTTTGCCTGCAAATAGACCGACAAACTCCGTTAAAAGGAAATAAGGGTTTTTGGTAGGAACAAGAGAAATAAGTGTTTCTTTTTTAATGGGTGAAAGTGGAATAGTATCCACACCTACGCTATCAGTTTACGCTGGCGGAGCACCAGTGAGGGATGATAGGTGAGGATAAAAGCAGGTCAGTTAGTCTATCGTAACGAATTCCACAAGAATTAATCATAATGGTTACCAGGGGGGACCGCGTGGAGGTCGACCTGATAGGGTATATTGCTCGCAATAAAACTGTTGAACGTCATTACCAACAATCCCTTTCCCCATATAAATATGATAAAAGAGTGGTACCTATTTAATTTTTTTATTGGTACTTCTTTGTTACGATAATTTAAGAATTTACTTCACATTTACATAAAGTGCCACTACGCAACCGTGGCAAAACCAATAATTTTGATTTAAAAACTAAACTGTTGAATCGATTTAAATAGAATTCCTTTGGAAGTAATCTGAAAGGATATCCTTTCAGAAAAAAAAATCAATCCAAAAATTTAATGAGGGAGTTTAGATCTGGTAACAGATATAAGTAAGAAAAATACAATGGAATTGAACGGCTCCTTCTTTTTTGAAGCTGGTTGAAAAAGTAATTTCAATTGTAAACACACACATAGCCCCCCCCCCCTTGGGGAGGAAAGGGATTGTTAGTAATGGAGACTAAAAATTCCATTACTAGCAATATACCCAACCAGGTCGACCTCCTCGTGGTTCCCCCTGGAAACTATCATGGTTAATTCCTGATGAATTGGTCATGATGGGCTAACTGGCCTGTTTTCATTCTCATTTATCACCCTTCACTGGTGCTCCGTCTGCGTATCCCGTTAGCGCAGGCGGGATTACCATTCCATTTTCACCCATCGAAAAAATAAAGCCCCCCTACACACTGTATGTACGACGACATGTACATATCAGGTATCCATCTTATTTATTGTTATTAAGAATTCATTATTCTAAAATTATTTTTTACCAGCTCTTCGCCCGCTACTTCATACGCGTGTATTTCAGAAGTTGGAAAAATGGAACAGACCATCTTTAGACGGTGTATCGAAATAAAAAATATACCATATTTTTAACTTAAATCTTAGGGATTCGATTGTGACAACCCTATCTTATTTGGTGTAGTAGTTTTTGCGTGATACCAAAACAAACATATAGACAGAAAGACGGTGAAATTTTCTATAAATTATGATTTGATATCTATTGATCTTATTAAAACCTTTCATGAATGAATAATTGAATGAATGAAAACTCTTTATCGTTCTCTTCAAAGAATTATACAGATCTTTATAAGATTAACAATATGTACACAAATGAAATGATACTTAATTACATAAAAGCATATTAATGTTTACCAGAGGGAGACTTTGTACAAAAGTCGATTGCTTGGGTACCTCTGTCCCATTCCTGTTTCTATCGTAAAGTATTGTGTTTGCATGGCTGTATTTCGGTTTGAAAAGGATGGGATATGGCGTGAATTTACAGGGTACAGAGAAATAACACCTGAGTCCTTAGGAATGGCAACGCATGGGGGTATCATGGGCGAAACAGTATACTCTGTTATGTCCATGGTACTGTTCATGTCTATAGGCGATGGTTACCACTTTCCATCAGGTGGGCCATCAGCTTGTTTGCCATTCTAAGTTGCATAAAAAAAATTGAAAACGTCCTTCTTTCTAAAATGGGTTGAAAAGATGTAATTTGTAAGAATAAAATAAATATAAAATAATGAAACAACATTGTTTATAATTCATAAAATTCCTTGTATTCATTATCGAAGTCACATGTGTTTTTGTAAGAACATATATGTATTTAAAAAAGTATAACGCTTTTTATAAACACTAAATTAATTTGTGCGTTATGTTAGAGGTATATAAAGTTCAAATTATAATTTGAAATTAGCGACACAAAATTTGAATTTAATTGTGTATGGAATGAAAGACGTAATACTCTTTTATTCGCATTAAAATGTATTTATTTACAAGGTGCTTATATGTATATTGGTAATGGGTGAAAATGGAATGGTAACCCCGCCAGCGCTGTCGGTATATGTTGGCGGGCCACCAGTGATGGGCGAGGACAAAAGCAGGTTGGTTTACAAATTGGCTCATTGAGAATATTCAACAAGAATTAACTACGATGGTGTCTAGAGGGCACCGCGTGGAGGATGCTAATATACGCTTGCTAACAGTTGGGCTTTTAGACCCCATTACCAACAATCCGTTTCAGGGGAGAAAGGGATATTTGGACAAGTAAAAATTTCATTATTGATTCTTACACAAGGTTAAGTCAGTCCTGTAGAAACATCTCTACAGATGGGCAATGGGAACTGTAAATAATGGGGACTAGTAGGCCCATCGGTAACTAAATACCCCATTAGGTTGATCTCAACGCGGTTCCATCTGGATTAAAATTTTTTAATTCTTAGTGACTAAAGTTTTTTCTGCCTACCCTAATGGGAGACAGGCGTGATGTAAAAGATGTGAATGTATGTATGACTAAAGTCAATGCAGGTTAACTGACATAACTTCATCTTTACTTATCATACTCCACTGGTAGTAGCATAAACAAGCTACCCTTCTATGTTAATCCATTAAAAACAAAAGTATAAATTTAAAACATAAAAATGAAGTTTGAAACTTCCATATCTTAGAATATCAAAGTTCTAAATCTGAATGTTTTGACAAATCGACAGTCTGAGATTTTCACTTTTAGAATCAGTGTTATTATAAGACATGCATATTCTATGATTGTAAAACTTGTTGCTGAGACGCCCCGCTGACTAGGAAGTACTGTAAATGAACTGGACCGGCTTTTTATTATTATTATTCTGTAAATGAATTGGGCCGATTTTATATTATTTTGTACCAGCTCTAATCTCTAGCCACTTTAAGCCTTAACCCGCGACTTTGCATAATTGGAATTTTTTTACTGACCGGGACAAGAAACAGCCTATGTCGTTTTCCATTCCATATAGTACGTATATGTTAAATTAATATACAGTGATACCTCAACATACGAGTTTAATTCGTTCCGAAACCTTGTTCGTATGTCAAAGCAATTTTCCCCGTTGTAATAAATTGAAATGCCATTAATCCGTTCTAGCTACCTAAAGAACTGGTATTTTGAATAAAAAAAAAGTATTTACAAGAAGAAACATTAATTTATAAACTCGCACACTTTGCTCATGTTTTTCTATCATTTCACGCTTTAGTTCAATAGACATCATCTTCTTTTTCGGACCCATGGTTATAAAAATGTGATAATGTTTTGTTATTGTACAAAAAGCAAAAAACGCGAACCCAACTTATCAAAAATGCTTCGAAAACGAGGGAAACAAGCACACAGACTGAGGTCTAGTCTAAGGTGGGAGAAAGTGTTAGACGCTGCACACGACACTAAAATACGCCCCGCATGTTGAGGTTGTATGCAGCGGTTCCTCGTATCTCAAATCTTGTTCTCATCTCAAAGCAAAATATCGCTCTCTCGCGGCTCTGATATGTCACAGTAACACTGGTATGTCGAGGTACCACTGTATAGGTATTATTATAAAGTAAAAATAAATCCACTTTCACATTTATAATATTAGTACGGATTATATCCATAGAAATATCATTTTAATTTACATACACTTACCCTCACTAATATGGTAAGTTGGGTCTTAATACCATTATTATATATATTATACCTCGTTTACGATATGGGCCGTATGCTTGCAGCTGATAAACCAAAATAACATCGTTCAACAATTGCGAAATTATAAATCTTACGTTTATTCTTATAAAATAATATTTAAATACTTGACGTTATATCCATTTGAGAATTAATAAAATTTTCCATCTACTAAAATAGGTTAGAGCATTTTTTTTACAACACAGGGGGCAAACGAGCATGCGGCTCACCTGATGGTAAGTGACTACCGCCGCCCATGGTCACCCGCAACACCAACGAGATAGAGCATTTACAATAGAAGATGCCATTAGCAGAATTTTCTCTTCCAAAATACTAGCGAAATCCTACGACTAGAAAGACATTTACGAAAATTTTTCTTAATTCCAGGGTTGCCATTTTTCTTCAACAATTTTGTTACTCCAAAATTTTGTAATCTGACAACTCTGCCTAAATCTTAAATATGCAGTCTAAAATTGCCAGTGGAACTTATTTAAAAAAAAAAAAACATGGTCCGTATAATTACTAAGTAAGTTAGTATGCAAGACTCAAAATCTTAGTCATCTTCTAACCAAGGAATTATAATTTTGAGACTCGAAACCAAAATTTCTTTGAGGAAAAATATTCCGATTTACTGATAATTTAGTCTAACAATCCATTTTTAATACTTGACATATTTTGTAAGCAATTCCATTTTCCTTAAAACCAATCCGTATTTCAATCATCCAATCATCAATCAAACCAACCAATCATATTTCAAAACTCTTTTGAAATTAGTGTGTATTTTAGATATTTCATTTAGGAATATTAATTAGAAAAATCAAAATTAAATTAGAACTCAAACAGATTGCTCTGAGCCTACTTGATGTATTCTTGCGACATCTATATAAAACCATATCTGTACATTTATAGGTTTATCTTATATTGTAAACGCTTTAATTACATATACAGTCATTTTTATTTTTAAATCTTATATTTCTAGTAATGGGAGGAGGCGAAATATTCTGACGTAAAAACCGTACTCTCCCTGAAGAAGACTTCCGAATGAATTCCAAACAAATATTGGAAACGTCAAATATAATAAATTCATCAAAATTCCTGTTACTCAAAATTATACATATACCTATATAGATAATAAAAATAATTTTGGTACATTTTGGTCTCTGTAAGCGTGTTGTAGGCACTATAATATGATTTCGTGTTTGAAACTTCTCGTGAGATGCTTGTGTGGTAGCACTATTGAGTTGAGAAGGATGGTCTCTGCTGGAACTACGACGCTGGCGCCTGCAATACATAAATATATTCAATTATTCATCAGGGAAAAATAAAAAAGGGAAAAATTATTAAGACGACCTTAAAACGGATGTCTAATAGTAATATAAATAAAAAATCGATAAATATGTCAGTAGTTGCCACGCTTGGCAGGCAGGTTCGTAACCGTAGTTAGACTTTGGTGATGTTTTAAAAGGGACACTGCTGCCCATTCCTCGAGCATTTAATTATCTTAGTCGCCTATTACAACTTTCACGGAAAAGGAAGAGGCTGGCTTGTCCTATGCTATTTATATATTATTGAGATTCGGGCTTTTTCATGCAGAAAACCTGTGATACTGCGACCTTTTCACGATCTTTTGTGTTCGCCTTCTTTAATTCGCTACTAATTCCCATCAGTGATAGGAAGTTTAAGATGTTTTTATAGCGATGTTTTTTATCTCCGCGGGATATAAAGTGTATTTTCCAAAGGAGATATATTGTTTATGTGTGAATGCCCTCCAACCACAAATTAAAATTTTAATGCTATTCTATATGTATGTGTAGTTTTACCTAATATTGTGATAGAAGGGTTGAGTCTCCCATCAGAGTTGAAGAGTGGCGTGTTGTCCATCTTAGCGAAGGGTTTGTTTGGATCCGGATCGGAAGGCGTGCCTTCGACGCGCGACCACTCGCCCACAGACGCATCTTGTCCCACTGTTAGAAATAATAGCAATATATTATGCACCCAATAATTGACTGGTAGAAAACACCACCCAGTATAAAGTCTATCAAAAAACATACAATTAAACTGTGCTTTAAAGATTAAATAAATAAATATGTCATTTTATAACTTTTTTTAATACCACAAAGATGACAAACAGTTATACAGCTCGCCCGCAACACTAGGGGTGTTACGTGAGCATTGCCAACCCTGAAGAAACAATATATCTTTTATGGAGAACCCCATACTGTAGTATCCACTGAAAACCTCGGTAGGAAGGTCATTCCACAGCCTAAACGTTCTTTGAACTTTTTTATAGAACTTGGAATGTCAAACAGACTGACAGCCAATTTGGTGGTAATTGTAGGTCATAGATGAAAGATAGTATCTGCCTTGCCGATCCATATAATATCATCTACTATGAATAAAATGAGATCAAATACTATCTTTAATATATGAATAAAATAAAATGTAATTAAATCCGAAATTAGTATTTTATAATATATTAACTTTAATAGACAATTTTTTGATATTTTGGGTTGCATTATTATGATTATAGTAGGGGGTCTCTATTTTTTTTTAATATGTAATCCATGTTATTCCTTGATAATGCAACTATCTATAGGTAAAACAATTTTAAAATTATATAATTGTATAAAAATCACCATACAAACAGATTTGGACCACACCATCAGCGTGGTATTATCATTTTGACCAATTACTGTAAAAAAAAATATCATGATGATGGTGAAATGACTTACCAACCGAGTACATGACTAAGGCGTGCTCGTTAATTGTGGCGTGGTTTAGTACTATTGACTCCTTGATCCTGACCCCCGCTTTTATCGTTACTCCAGCACCGATCGACACGTTCGGACCTATCTGTAAAATAAAGTGGGAGATATTTTTAATCGAATGTAAATGATATGGTTGCCCCACCTGCGTGTATAAGGTACAATACCTTCCTCCTGGGGAGGAAAGGAATTGTTAGTAATGTGAACTTACAATCTCATTGCTAGCAATATAGGGTATATGGTAACCCCGCCTGCGCTAACGGGTACAGAGGAATAACACCTGAGTCCTCAGGAATGGCAACGCATGGGGGGTATCATGGGCGAAACAGTATACTCTGTTATGTCCATGGTACTGCTCATGTCTATAGGCGACGGTTACCACTATCCATCAGGTGGGTCGTCAGCTTGTTTGCCATTCTAAGTTGTATGAAAAAAAAAATACGCTGGCGGGGCACCAGTGAGAGATCATAGGTGAGGATGAAAGGGCAAGTCAGTTAGCCCATCGTGACGAATACACCTGGAATTAAGCACGATAGTTTCCAAAGGGAAACACGTGAAGGTCGACCTAATAGGGTATATTACTAGCAATGGGACTAATAGTCCCCATTACTAACAATCCCTTCTCTCCGCTCATTCCATATTACCTATATTATTAACGAGTTAATATTTATTTATAAATAAAATAATATATACCACGGCAGTACTATCTACAATAGCTGTAGGGTGCAGGAAAACATCTGGCAGTATGTGGCAGGGCGCGGGGACGGCTTGCCGTTCGCGGTGCAACTCCAGGTAATGGCGGTTGGCATATATAGCAGAACCGGCCGTTTTCACTTGCGACCACCAGCTCGTCACCTTTGGTTAGAAATGAAATGAATAATAAGTATAAGGGGGTAGGTACTTTTAGCCTCTCAATAAAAAATATTATACCGTCGTTTAAGTTCTAACATCGCGGTAGTTAAAAACTCGTCAAATGAAAAAGTCAAGAGTTAATTACATCATTCGATAGAGAATTGAAAGGTTTCTCTTTTAACTAGATGATAACAAGGACTCGAACCTTAACAACGGTCAATTAGAAAGTATATAAAGAAAATTTAAAACTGGAATGCAATAGAATAATTTTCATTGAACGAATTAAAACAGTTTTATTACTCTCGTGGAAAAATTACGCGATGTTAAAACTTAAAAGGTGGGTCGTTTGTTTTTTGCAATTCTATGTAGTATAAAAAAAATATTACATCTAATAATTATAAAATATATAATATACCTGCATCGCATATAATTTCTTCGTGCCAGCTAAAGGCGCCAAAACATCCTGCTCCCACGACATATATCCCGGGTGAGGGCTACTGTTACCGTTGGTACCACTGAAAATAACAAAGTGCATAAAATAAACAAATGATAGAGAGTCTGTTGAATAATAGAATAGAATATAAATAACCTTTAATCAAAGAGACTTGTTTACCAGCTATTCTAAATATTTTATTTTATAATTATAAATATTTTTATAATTCTATTGCTAGTTTCGGAATGTTGTTATCTGCTGAGAAGAACTTGCAAGAAACTCAACAGTAACTCATCTCAATTTATTCTGATATACAATAGGGGTTACAGACAGCCCTCTATGTCGAAGCTGTTATAAAACCGAAGAAACGGCTATTCATGTAATCCTGGAATGTGAAACTGTAGCCCCTCAACATTTAGAAATCCTCGAAACAGTGAAGTCATTCCATAAGGCCTGTGAAGACTCCAGGAAGCTTCTGTGCTTCTGGTTGCTACTGGGCTGGCTGTACTATGACTCATATGCACAATGGCCCAAATGGGAGGCTTAGCACGGAAATAAGAGTCAAGTTTACATTACATTATGGGTACTCTGGTTATAGTCAGTATTGAGTTCTATTTACATGTATTATTCAATGTGAAATAATTAAGCAAGCATGAGCCAACCACTCTCCACAAGCAGCATCTGATTACATGTATGATGGATGAGCCAGTCATCACTACACTCAATTATATTTAAGGGAACTCAACAACCCGACCCACCACACCACTAATCAGTCTGAACCTTATAGTGAGCAAGACTTAGTTCAAGTTTATTGACAAAATCTTGAGTACAATTTACATCCTATGTGATAATCAAAATACCATTTATTATAAAATTTGAATGGTCATTCAATCAGATAAAAATAATTAATATAATAGTATCAATAAGTTCATAATCAAAATGAAAATTTTTATAGACATTATTATAAGTAAAATAATAATAAAATATAAAAATTGTTTAATCTAATTTTTTTTCATCAATCATCTGTCCTAATAATAATTAATGTGATTCATATTGTATTGTGAGTGTTCATATTTCAGGTAACACCGAAAGAAAGAAAAAGTAATAAAGCTGATAGAAATCCTTACTAAAGTAAGAAGCAACACTTTTACATAATATTAATAAGTATTTTGAAAAAATTCTCATTATAATGCTTCTTACCTATAAAATCCATCTTGTTTCCTCTGGAAAGCATCAGCCATCGTGTGAAATACTTGTAAGGAACACACATAGACTCCACAGTTGATGAGTGTAGACACATAACTGTTGGGCTTCTCAACATAATGGTTGACTGCCTTAGTGACTGTGTCACAAACCATGCAGCCATAGTGGACAGACTGTTGACGTGTGGCCTCTGTGCCCATTATTGTTACCTGGAGCATTAAAGGTCTAATCATTCAGCTGTTAACTGTCCATTGTTGAATGTAGACTACCACCAAAAAATGGAGGGGGGGTTAACAAAATAATTAAAGGTCTAATAATATAGTTAGAAATATATTACTGGGAAACATTGTTTTACTGTTATTTTATTACTAGCTATATTTCTTGTAGCTTCCCTGTGCATCAATACATAAAGTAACCTGTATTAATACATAGGATTATATTAATATTATTAGGTAAAGTCAATAATACTAATAATTATATAAATAAATAATAATAAATCACCTATCTTTAAACAAAATTTTAATCAAATCCAAACAGCTATTTAAGCATAATTCAGTAACAAACATCCATCCTACTAATATTAAAAACTGGCTATTTCTCATGACTTTGCCTATGTAAACTATTATACATATAAAGTAACCTATGTGTTACATTAGAATATAACTGGTCCATGTACTAAATTTCATTCAAATCCATGCAATTGTTTAAGGATAATTAACAGGATATTAAGAGTGCATTGTAGGCAAAATTATAGAAAATAGTTATACTGTAACACAAGCATACTAACCAGTGCATCTGATCTTTCATTATGGAATGTCCATAACTCTTTTAGTCCAAAATCAGCACAAACATCTCCATTCAGCAAAAAGAATGCTGATGGATTGCCAGCTCGGATTTGATCCCTGAAGAGATAGAGACCTCCTCCAGTACCGAGTGGTGTGAACTCTTGTAAATATCTGAAATTATGTTAACATTTTATTATTAACAACTTTGCTTTAATTACCAGAGGGAGAAAAGAGGTACACACTTATGTTTCTGTCATCAATCAGTATATAAATCCTCAGGTACAGCAGCGGCTAGATTTACCAACAAGCTGCTGATATAGGCTGCAATCTATAGTTGACCGATATAAATAGTGGCAGATCTTGCAACTTGTAATAAATTGTAATTCATATTTTATTTTATATTTTAATCATTTTATTACTAATTTATTAATTGCCTATTCTACCTATTCATACCTAAATAAATGCCTACGTAAATGTAACAAACAAAACATGTAATAGCTTGCACTTATAAAAAATATAAATCCAAAACTGGATTATGGCAACATTATGAATATTGTTGTGGTTATTCATCCTTATTATTCTTATACTTATATATTTTTTTCTTTCAATAAATGATAGTTTTGTTGAGTAGACCATTCATCACTTTCGTACAGTATTACAATATTTACTAATAGAACTTTCATAACCTGATAATAATAGGGTATTCCTTCTGCATATCACTCACAAATTGTGCCATATGTGCAGTTGTATATGATCCAATGATTAGTATTTCCTTGCATTCTTCTAATTTAGCACACGCCTCAATATGATGCTGGATTAAGGGCACCCCAGCAATGGGAAAAAGTGGTTTGGGAGTGTCCAGCGAGAGAGGCCGAAACCGTGTGCCTGTGTAACAAATTTTAAACATAAATATTTTAAATTATATCCATTCAGCATCCTTGATACATTACAAAGAAGTTAAAGGCAAAAAGTACAAATTTAGTATACCATATTTTAGACATGATTAATATATATTAGAGGTATATAAACTGTGATGGAAAGTAATGTAATAATTAAAACTGAATAAAAGTGTTTTAGACATTTATATATATAAGAACATATTTTTTGCATGGCAATTATTCAATCTCATATAGAAAATAATGCAGCCAAAATTATCATAAATATGTAGTAAGTACTAAAAGTAGATAAGAACGATATCTAACCTACATTACGTACAAATGTTTTAAGTCGTACGATACTAATACAGTAATATATAACACCTCATTAAATTCTTATCTACTAAAATATTATTCCAGTTACAAATCGTACGAGATACTTGTAATAATATATTGGAATTTTAGTGTACTTTTAAAATTTAAATACCGGTGACGTCAATGTTACCTTTTTGCGGTCCACCAATTAGTATTACCGCTTTTAGCATTTTTAACAAATTTTATACAATTTAAATTCGTTCAACAGTCAATTTATATGTAAATAAAATAGTTCTATGTTAATAAAATTATTGAAAAACACGTCAGAAGAAAAGTAAGCATTTGTAAACAACAAATGAAATGACATTTTAGACATTTAAAGATAATGTCGAGCTGTGACAGTGACTTTAGTGTCAATATCAAATCTCTATTTGAAATTTGACTAGAGGCGTAGATTGAGCCGAAATCTTTAAGATTAAGAACATTGTGTTTTTTTTTTATGAATAGTTATAGAAAAAACAATACAATGCTAACGATAAAAATATAGATATTTTCATTGATAAAAATGAAATATTAACTCTGCTTGCGCTGTCGGTATACGCTGGCGAGATATCAATGAGCGATGACAGATGATTGCAAAAAACTTGACCCATTACGAAGAATTTAACAAGAATTAACCACAATAGTTTTCGAGGGAAACCGCGTGAAAATCGATCTGATTGGGTATAGTATTAACAATGGACCTTTTAGACCTCATTACTAACAATCCCTTTTCCCTCTTTATGACTACCTGCTCTAGTTTGGCAATTACTGCTACTACGACTTAAAACTCTTCTTATTGGGGACGCTTATATTTAGCAGGGACAGTTAACGGCTGATATAATAATAATAACAACAATAAAATATAACTGCACACGGTATTCAACTTACCACGATTATCGTTTGACAATTTCAATTTCAACCCGAAGTCTTGTGTATATATCCAGTCTTCCAATTTTGAATACATCAATGAACATGTTCTGATTGATTTTTATTACTAAGTTTTTTTTAATCAGATCCTGTTATATTCATCAGATCCAGATATATATATATATATATATATATATATATATATATATATATATATATATATATATATATATATGTATGAGTCACAGCACGACAATTTGAAAAATAATATAAACAATTTTTACATATCTATCTATCTACTTAGATGTTATTGATGTACCTAATATTCGTAAATTGAATTAAATATAATCTCAAGCAGACACGTGTAAACTTTAATACGTAATTGGAAATAGAAAACATAGATAGATCAAAGACTGGAATAGTAGATATTAATGTTACTTGTGTTTGGTCGCAAATTAAGAAGCTTTCAATCCCACAAAGGTTTGTTTGCTTGGTATTACCTACCACTGTTTCGCCCACTGATTATTGTAGGTAACCATGTCTTCTTATAAGTGTATTTTACGAGTCTTGTGCTAATTCTACTACTATACTAATCTGTACATAGTATAAAAGAAAATCGCTTCACGTCGTCTGTATGCTTAGATTTTTTAAACTACGCAACGGATTTAAATTTGTTTTCTCATTAATAGACAGAATGAATCAAGAGGCAGTTTTATGCCTATAGTTTAATATTGTCTTGTTGAAGTATGACGTTAATTGTTCAAGATGTCTGAAGAAATTAAGTCGATTTTCTTTTCATCTTTCATCGAAAATACTGAAATATAACAAATTAATATATGATGGAATTATTCCTTCCTATTAGAACTACAAAAAGTCAACGTTGGCATTCTACCTATTATACAGATAACCATTTTAATGTAGGGGGGGAAAGGGATTGTTAGTGATGGAGACAGAATCCCATTGCTAGCAATATACCCAACCAGGTCGACCTCCTCACGGTTCCCCCTGGAAACTATCATGGTTAATTCCTGATGAATTCATCATGATAGGCTAACTGGCCTGTTTTCATTCTCATCTATCACCTGTATTGTACTGGTGCTCCGCCAGCGTATCCCGTTAGCGCAGGCGAAGTTACCATGCCATTTTCACCCATCAAAAAAAAAACCATTTTAATGTTCGAAAAAAGTTATGTGTTATTTAATTGATCGTATATTCTTAGGCAGAGAGAACAAAATGTAAAAGGCCTTTTTCCTTACATATATTACATGCTTCTAGCATTTTCATAACTCATCTAAGGCATGCACGTCGGTTTCGGAAACTCTTCACTCCTCTTCTTTCAGATAGTATGTGTTAATAAATATGCTAGTTCCTTTTTTTATATTCTTAATTTATTAATTATATTTTTTTAAATAAACATGCCATCTGTTGACGCAATATAATATATATTTTTTGTTATTCTTAATTCATTTGTTAAGTTTTCTATAAAAATATGATCGTTAATATATAAAAAAAAGTTCATTTTAAACAATATGAATAGATAGACCATGTCTGGATGTATAGTAGTTTGATACACTACCTCACCTTTCGATGGTAACGTGTGCAAGTGTAACTCTGCAAGTTTTCTGTTAAAGTCGCCAGTTTTTTCCTACTCAATAACTACTTGATAATAATAATTATCTATTGTAATCACGTAGTAAACTACTCGTATTTTGTTTCGAGTACGTAATAATGGTATTTACAAAGAGAAAATAACTTTGGTGCAACTTACTAGGGTTACATTCATGAACATTGCGGAAAGGGTTCGAGGGTAAAGTAGGTATGAGTAAATAACAAACTTGTTTCCTTTTTTTAAGGGTAGTGCAAACACTAACTTATTTACTTTTCGGTATTAATATAATTTTGTATGTAGTATTATTATTAAATATTTTGGTTATGAGATTCAAATGTATTCATAGAGAATTAAAATTTTGTTTTGACTGTTTGTGATTACTAAGCACTTTTACTTTTTATCTATACTTATAATAAATTTGTAGAGAGGTCAATTCTGTACATGAAATATATTTCTAAAATTACTATCAGGGGGTGATTAGTGATCGATACTGATGCCAAAAATGCAATCAGTAAATTTTTGTCTGTCTGTCTGTATGATCGTTATAGAAACAAAAACTACTCGACGGATTTTAACGAAACTTGGTACAAGTATTCTTCATACTTCTGGGCAAGTTATAGTATACTTTTCATCACGCTACGATCAATAAGAGCAGAGCAGTGAAGGGAAATGTGTCTGTTACCATTTAATAAGAGAATTATAACATTCAATAAGAGCAAACCACTGAACCGTGAGGAAGGACATAGGCTGCTTATTTTACGAAAAACTACGAAAACGCGGACGAAGTCGCGGGCGACAGCTAGTTAATAATAAAATGGTAATCCGCCCATATTATCGGCATATGCCAGCGGGGTACTAATGAGGGATGATGGGTGAGGATGCAGTCAGGTCAGTTGGCCTATCGTGATGAATTCATTAGGAATTATCTATAATGTTTTCCAGGGAGGACCCCATGGAGTATTCTGACGGAACAAATGACAAACAATTAGACCACTGGATTCCATTAGTTACAATTCTCTCCCCCGATACTTTAGCTTGGGATTTTCGAATTGAAATTACAAACAAACTAACGCCCATACAGTAAGTAAGTACTTGTCTCTTATGTTTAACCATTCGTGAGATTAGCCTTCAGGGCTGGCGTTATTGCCTTTATATTAATTAATTTTCCAATTCAAACCGAAACATCCATACAATTAAAGTTACTTTGCGATTAATAGATCATTCTACTCAACAGCTTTATTGTACGTTTTACGTTTTTACAAATAACACATAAAGGTTTTACGGACCTTTATTGGCATTAGAATGGGCACTCTAACAATGCTAACGACCTGTATTTTGTTCTTTTGTTTGCAAAAGTGAACTGTCCATACTCCATATATCTACGTATAGTATATCAATGTCCTAGATCGCAATAAGCTTACAGTACAATGAACAGTTGTGCAGCGTTTTTTGCATATTCTCGGGGCGTTTATTAATTACTTCAGCTGGTAATGCGAGAAGGGTTGATCTTATCGATTCTTGTGTATAGTGAAAGGTGGTCCTTTTTACATGTTACATGCTCTTATTTTATTTGCTTAATATGTAGTCTTTCCGTTAAAAATTTGCAGTTGATTTTTAACCATTCGCTGACGTCAGATTGTGCTAAAATTTGGTGACAATTTAATGGTACTTTATATATATATATATATATATATATATATATATATATATATATATATATATATATATATATATATATATATATATATATATATAACCATTTCCCATGTAGTGCACAAAGTCTGATGTAGAACCCTAACGGTTATAAAAGTTTGATTTTAAAAATATTTTGAAACAAACCTATTTCTTAGTAATCTTACTTCATTTACAAATGTAGAGACGTAAATATTTAATTAAATGGACCAAAACACAACAACATATTATTTATTTAAATTCCTAAGGGTTAATTTCTCCTACTTATCAAAGGGGAGGGGATGGTTCAAATTAAATATCCCATGTAATTAATGGACGATTCCTCATTATCATAATAATGGTCAATTATCCCTACTATTAGATGTTTCACTGTTTACATTAGTTTCTCCATACAGAAAGAATTTTAGCTCACTGTTTTCTTTAAAGAATGAAAATAGAATTCCCATTCCACCCGCGCTATCGATTTATGTTGATGAGATGCCAAAAATGGTAAGGTGAAAATAAAGTCTGTTGACCTGTAACACTGATTTCATCCGAAATTATTCCACGTACAATCACACTTTGAAATCAACTCCCAGCAGATATGACATAACGTAACCTTCAAGAAAAGAGCATATTCCTTTTTTAAAATCCAACAGCATACCTGAAATTCCTCTGGTGTAGAAGCTGGTCATGAGCGACCGTAGTCACTTACCATCAAATAAGTGGCACGCTCGTTTACTTCGTGTGTTGTGAAAAAAAGAATCCCTTTGATTTTCAGGTGCATCGAACTCGACGTGTTACTAACAAATTGTCTCTACACGGTTTGGAAGGTAGTTAATTCCTAGTGTATTCGTCGAGATAGAACTAACTTGACTTCATGCTCATCTATCATCTCTCTTTGATGCCACGCTAACGTAAATTGGAGGCGAGGTTGCCATTCAAGTTTTATTTATTATCTTACACTTTAGAACACAATTATATAAAAATAATTATAAGTAGGTATATATTAAAAATAAATATAATCTATTCTAACATGACGAAGAGGTAAATTTGTGAGTTTAGTTGGTCGGGGTAATCTCCGGTATTATTGATCCGATTTTGAAAACTCTTTCACCGTTGGAAAGGTATATTATACCTGAAAGCTATTTACACAGCTGAACGTATAGTTACTCAT